GTCTAGGGCCCAACTGCAGCAGTTTCTGGTGGGGGAGCAAATGCAGCGGGTGGGGGTGGATGTCATGGGGCCATTTCCTTGCACCACACAGGGAAATCGCTTTGTCTTGACTGCTATGGATTACTTTATGAAATGGCCTGAGGCCCTCGCACTGCCTAACCAGGAGGCTGAGACTGTTGCCAATGTCTTGGTGGAGGGCATGTTTAGTAGGTTTGGGGTCCCCCAGTGTATCCATAGTGATCAAGGCAGAAACTTTGAGTCCAAGGTATTCTCTTCCATGTGTGATCGTTTGGGAATCAACAAGACCCGCACCACCCCACTCCACCCCCAAAGCGACGGGCTCGTGGAGCGATTCAACAGGACACCAGCTGAACAGTTGTCCATTTTAACATCAACTCATCAGCACGATTGGGACACCCATCTGCCACTGGTCTTAATGGCATGTCGCTCTGCTATATAGAACTCTACTTCATGCACACCAGCCCTGCTCATGTTGGGTAGGGAGATTAGAACCCCTGCAGAGTTGGCCTTTGGGTGGCCCCCTGATGCCCCTCCTGTTCCAGCTGGACCCGAATATGCTAGACAGCTCCAGGACCGCTTGGACTCTGCCCATGCATATGCCAGGAGGCAGCTGGTGACCGCAGGGGTGCGGCAAAAAAGAGCGTATGACCTGCATGCTCGGGGGTGCAACTTTGGGGTCGGAGAGCTAGTTTGGGTTTACAGCCCAGTTAGGAAGAGAGGAAGGTGCCCTAAGCTGGATAGCCACTGGGTGGGACCATGCCCGATATTGGACAAGCTGGGGGAGGTGGTGTATCGAGTGCAGTTGCCTCCTCGGGGGCGCAAAGTGGTACTGCATCGTGATAGGCTGGCCCCTTACCGGGGCACCGCGACACCAGAGGGTGTCACAGTACTTCCTTCACAAAACAGTGAGACTCAAAAGGGGGTCAGAGGGGTTAATTGGACCAGCTGATATGGCCAGTAGTGGTCAGCAGGTGACACTGATACCCGACATCCCTCAGGGTGATCATTCACAGGGCTCAGAGGAAGCGGCACCTGGAGTCAAAAATCACATGCTCCTCAGGGGGTGTCCTAGGAGGGAGAGGAGAACCCCAGTCAGATTTAGAGACTTTGTCCTCGGGGTCGAGGACTTCAGTTAGAGGGGGGTAGTGTAACGTGTTCAAAATGCTGTTCTGTTACAAATAAGGATGCATTTAATGTTAATGTTTTACTTTATTCGTTTTATGTGACTCGATTGATTAGTTGTCAAGTTGAATATGGAAAGAGGCTCCACCCCTTGTGAGAGTGATGGGGAAATCTGGGGAGGAGGAGGGGAGAAGAGCGCCTCGCTGGTTCAAGTGCGGTTCTCTTATAAGTCGGGTGTGTATGGCGTGGGCTGTGGCCGACAACAGCCTCTAATAAACACCCTGACCCTTTGTTATCAAAACCGTCTCGTCCTTGCCTGAGAACGTTACAAATATGAATGCACCGTTTAATCTTAAAGTTTTGGTGGTCAGACTCGGCGCAGAGAGGACAGAGATGATAGCAAATAAATAATGCTAACCTCAGACTCTGCTGTACTTGTTCATGTGTTTTGAAGGAGGCGTGGCTTTAAAGACGCGTGGCTTTGAAGCAGTGGTCTCAAACTCGCGGTTTTGTGGCCCCCTACTTGACATTAAAGGTTAATGTTAGTGCGGCCCGTCGTTGCGTGTGCCGCGTTTAAAAGAATTTTTTTTTTTTTTTATCCCTTATGGGCTACCATAGATAGTTTCGTGACAGCTTACGGTGGGTTTGTTGTCAATAGTTGTCATAGACAACCGCGAAGTACAAACATACTGCGCCTGGAAAAAATGAGCGCGTCGCTTCAATTATGAGCGCGCTTGCCGCGCGCCTACATTTGAAATAACGAACTTGAGCGCGCAAAATATGTGAGCGCGATATGTGAACGGCCCCTTGTCGAGCTAACACCAATCAGGCCAGGAGCTACTGGTAGCTCACGTGCGACGTGTTGGAGAGAGACCCTGCTCTAAAACAATGTGAGAATAATCATTTTGAGCTTGTAATATGTGTCCAACAGGTTGATAAGAAGGTTTGCTTTGATTTGTGCAAACTCAGTAATTTGCCTGAGACACTATACATGTGTAGAAAGAATTCAATAAGACGGGCAGACATGACTGCAAATATTTGTATTTCAAAAGCAATAATTGTTTTTCTAAGTATAATAAAAGGAAATGTGCCTTCCAAAAAAAAAATTCAATATCATTAATGTGTTGTATAAAGAAAATAAAAAGGACATAAGCAAATATAAATATCACAAATATGTGTTATAGACAAAGAAAGTTTGTAAAAATGAACTTCAACTGTCAGAAGGACAGCTCATGAAGAACCAATCATTTACAGAAAGGAATGTTCAAATTCAGAGGAACAGTTCAGAAGAAACGTTAATAATAAATATTGAGAAGATTGGATCATTTGTGCTCCTTTTTTGGAATACTTGAATACTATTTTTTGTGGAATACTTGATGCGGCCCAGCCTGACCCAGACTCTACCTCCAGCGGCCCCCAGTTAAGTTGAGTTTGAGACCCCTGCTTTGAAGGGAGTGTGGGTTCTCATGTTTTCAAAGCTAGCCCGCTATTGCTAGTTACTCCGAAAATTGCCTACCCTACCTTTAATTGTAAAATGTTTATAATTTTTTGCATATGCCAGTATGATCTTATTGTGTTTAAACAACATTTCAGGCTCTATTTCGTATGAAAATACTCCATCAATACACATTTTGGATTCTTTATGTAACCTGAATGAAATCATAAGATAAATAGTAGAAGCTATGTGATATAGTAGGGCTATAAATTAATTGTATGTGTGTGCTATTTCATTAGCAGTGGTTATTAAAATATTAGCATGTATTAACTTAAATTACATGTAAATTATATGCTCGAGCTGGGTAATCTTTTAATCGTAAATGTAATATGTTGAATAGGCTATTTCTAAAATCTGTTGTTATTTTTATCTCATCTGTGGTCTCTAAAATGATAAGTATAGTGCAGTCTAATCATCGTTTCTAAACATAAACATCAATAATGTGAAGATGTGAGTAGTTCTGCTCTCCATTCTCCCTCCCATAATAAGGCATAAACAACAGTTTCCTGGCAATGAGTTTGATTATTATGAGTCAGAATATTAGCAAATCACAGCCTGCGTCTGATTCACAGTGTTTTACTTATTTAATTCGCTAAGAGATTTTAACGGATTAAACAAAGGAATATATGTACTTCACAATTGTTATCTCAGTTGTTATTAACATTGAAATACTACTTGAATTCCTCAGGAGAAGTGCTCTGGAAAAGTTCTAAATGTGGTATATCGTTAATCACTTCTCCGGGTGAACACTTGATGTCGCTGTTGGTTAAGGTGTGGAAACTGCAACATCATGGCGTTTGAGCAGATTAGAAATGTAGTGATGATGATCTGCAAGTCAAATGTGAATCCTCCTCTCAACTACAATTAATCTTATGGTCATTCATTTAAAAGAGAGCTTTGATGGCATTAACTCTTTTATTAACTCATTAACTCTTAGCAGCTTATTTTATGATTAGTCGTGCATTGTTTTCTTCAACACTAATCTAGATCATACTGTTTTAAAGGCTAGATAGTTCACCCAAAAAGAAAATTCTGTCATTAATTACTCACCCTCATGTCGTTCCAAACCCGTAAGACTTTCGTTCATCTTTGAAACACAAATGAAGATCTTTTTGATGAAATCTGAGTTTTCAGTCCCTCCATTGACAGCTACACATCTGACACTTTGACGCTTCAAAAAGTTCATAAAGAGATCGTAAAACTAATCCATAAGCATTCATGGGTCTATTTCAAATAGTCTGAAGAGACTTTATTGCTTTATATGATGAACAGATTGAATTTAGCATGAGAACGAACCACATTGGTTCTTGCTGATGCTCAAACCTGATGCGTAACACAGGAATGAACCTCATTGGTTCTTGCACTTCAAACAAACATGCTTGAGCTTCAGTTTACCACATCTGATGTGTGCGTTGATGAATGTTTATATGTGAATAAAAGTAAATTCAATCTGTTCAGAAAATTTGGGCTAAACAACTTAGTTTTACAATCTCTTTATGAACTTCAAGCATCAAAGACGTGGTAGTTGTGTAGCTGTCAATGGAGGGACATAAAGCTCTCAGATTTCATCAAAAAGATCTTCATTTGTGTTTCATAGCAACATGGCATCATGACTTTGCGTAAACATACACGCCACTTTCAAGTGGCGTGTTATCTATACGCATTTTGAGCTATCCGCGTGTATGTCCACGCCGAAACGAACCGTCATCTTTTGCGAGTATGTCTACGCCATTAAATGTCCGAGTGATTCCGCGTGTATGTGTACGCCGTTAAATGTCCGAGCGAAACGAAACAAAATGTAGATCTACATCTGGGGAGCGATATTTTTTTCCCTAGGATGGTAGGGGAAGACTCATAAATGGTATTAACCCCAGTGACGGGTAGGTTTAGGGACGGGGTTGGGGTAGGTCATATATTTATATATACAGTATGTAACGTTAAGTCAACGGCGTTGATAAACACGTTGAAAAGCGATTATGCGTGTTGATAGCACGCCAAAAATGGAAATACGAATTGGCGTGTCATACATACGCCATTTCATGAGATCAGTCTGTTCATAGATGAAAGAAAGTCTTGCGGGTTTGGAACGACACGAAGGTGAGTAATTAATGACAGAATTTTCATTTTTGGGTGAACTATCCCTTTAAGGCCCGTTCACACCAAGAACGATAAAATAGCGTCCACAGCGCACAATATATTTCTGTTTACTTCAAGCGCGTGCTGCAATTTTGTCGTCTATACTTGACCGTCCTTGGTGTGAACGGGCCTTGAGGCAAGTTAAAACCCATGCAACAAAAGAAAAAGAAAAAAAAAACCCAGCATAAATAATGTACTTTTATTGATTACTGAAAGTCAATCAAAATTTAAAGGTTCCCCTGTGCCAAGTGTTGAAGGGCATCACCCTCACAGCGCATGCAGTGATAGCCGAGGTCAGAGGTCACATCCCAGCAGCCCTGCTTTCGGTAGAAGTCAAGAGATGACTTGTTCCATTCCAGCACAGTGAAATTCAGCTGAGTGCAACCAGCAGCCAGACCAAGCTGAGGGTGATCATTAACACAAACATGTCAACTTGTGCACAGTTAACAAACAGTTTTCTAAATCACAACAGATTCAACACACATGCTGTATTTGTCTAGTGTAAATAAACTCCCCATACCTGGGAAACTTTGGCCATCAGAGCCTTGCCAATGCTTTTCCCTGGAAATACGCACAGAAATTCATTAATCAGTTTATGTTACATTCACATAAACGAAAGCACGGTGTCGTTTCCTTACCTCTGAACTCTGGCATCACGTACAGATCCTCCATGTACACCGTCCGACCTTTCCATGAGCTGTACGAGTAGAAGTACAGTGAGTAACCAACCTTGGTATGACCTGTAAAGAGAATCATTTCTGTCAGCTTGATGGCAAAAATAAAAACACAAAACTCAGAAACACTGTGAGCTGACATTATCAAGTTGCAAAACATCACTACAATTTCAGTAATGTGTACCTTTATTGCTCTTTTTTTTCACATTAGCACATTTGGCTTGGTACTTAATTTGTTTCCTATTCTAACTTGCAAATGTAAATGCAATTTAACTTAAAAGGGGTCATGACATGGATTTCTTTTTATTATTTTAATATGTTCCTTGAAGTTCACTTATAATGTTTATAAAGTAAAAAGAAAAATACCGTCATTTACAGACAAAGCATTATGAAATCATTTACTTAGTTTGATGCAGCTGCTGTCAGATTCAATACAGTTGGTGCTTCAACTTTCAACAAAAGTTTCCTTGTGAGCTCTCCATTACACTGTCCCAGGGACGTGCACAGGAATTTTGTGGGGCAGTTGCTCTGACCTGAAAAAAGGGCACTACCCCCAAAACTCACGGGCTATATGAAGGAATATATTCAGTTGAATTTTGCCCATACAAATTGCCTTATCTGATCGTGTTTATATCCAAACGCAATGCCTCATATTATGGTCTTATTATTATTTATAAAGATTGCAAACGTCAAAGATGACAGGTTTATGATATACAACTTTGTAAACAGTATACAAAATGTATTAACAATATGTTAAATGTCACCAAAATACACATGAGAAAAAGAGTTGCTCATATTATTGTTTATTGTTTTTTAATTATTATTATTTAATTTTTTTAAAATAAATAATCTGGATTGAATTGACAGATGGGGAAAAACTCGCTTGTAATAAAAATAAAAAAACCGCTTAGATTTCGGAAAAAATACAATCCTTTTTTAACCTTTTGGCTTCCCGTACATTCAATTGTGCTTTTTGCTCATCTGGGCAACTACGCATGATTTGTAATATGATTGCGTAAAGGGAACAGGAATTCCGGTAAGGAACAGAATCGACTGCTACACCCAGTGCCGATCCTGACCTCCCTGGGGCCCTAAGCAAAATTCTGCAAAGGGGCCCTCTACCTGACCTGTGATGTCGTGAGCTATGTAAACCATTTGCCATTGCCACAGTCACACCTGACACTTCAGCGCTCCCATAGAATCCTGCCTCCTTTAAACAAAACAGTCAAAGAATAAGTACAACAATATAGAACAGAATGAGGTTCAAACACACAATATTTATTGAATAGAGTATTTTCTATAGAATGTTAAGATAATAAATTACTATTATTAAGTAAGTGAATATTAACGTAAACATAAATAAGAAGAAAATAATAAATTATAACCCTGAGCTTTCGCTTTTGGGATTAACTTTGGTTCTTTCTACAGCCTGGGCATTTTCGGCATCAGTATGATTTTTTAATTTTTTATTATGCATGTTGAAGCAATTCTTGATTTATGGTTATTATTTACTGAGGGATGTGCATCCATATTGACCAGTGTGTCCAGCTAATCAACATTTTAAATTCAATATAGCCTCTAAATCAATAGTCAATCAATGTCAAATTGTCAATACATTGCTTTCTATCTTGCATAATTAGTGCAGTTGTTTAGAGTTTGTAACTACACTGAGAATAGATAATCAGTGTCTTGTTTTAAAAGTATAATGTGTACTTTGATTGGGAGTGCCATCATTCACGTGCATGTATTGTACAGTATGTCTGGTCTCCACATATTTCTGCTTGAAAAATGCGAGTTTCATTTCGGCAACGCGCATTTGAACGCACGATAACACATGCGACGCGGTTGTGTTTTCCGAGCTGCTGTAAACAAACACAAAATCAAACGTAATAAATAATTGTATTTTACTCTCACTTTTGTCAGCCACAAAGTGATGCAAGAGATGCACTGCCTGCCCAGCTAGGTTAGCAAGAGTCTGCAAGACCAAAAAAAAAAAAACTTTGCTGACATCAAACTTAGATAGGAGAGAGCACAAGTTTACCTGATTGTTGTTCCCGCAATTCACTCTCATGGTTTTTTTCTTCTTCCTCTTTTCGTGACCAGAAGGATAGTTTCGCTTCATTTTGTCGTGGATGTTGTACACATTTGACGGCGCGCTATGACTATGACACGAGATGGAGGCGTGGCTTTAAGTAATTTGCGTGGCCCTACGCCGGTCGCATGCAGTCTATGGTCGCGTGCAGCGTTTGCCCTTCATACTGACTTTCACTTTCGGTGCCCGAATGGAAGTGAATGAGGCTTTGCGATTTTTTTTAAAATCTAGGCCTACGTGAAATTCTGCATCCATTGCACGATTTAATTTTTTTCTCGGAAGGGCAACTTGAGTGAGAAGGGCAACTTGAGTGAGAAGGGCATATGGGCAGTTGCCCGGGCAACCTGAGCAACCCCCCTGTGCACGTCCCTGCACTGTCCCTACTTTTGTTATTCTGCAGTTAAATGCTCCGAACAAACATAATCCTCTGACGCGATCCAGGACGCCATTAAAATAAACTATACACTTGATCCTTCTGAAGTCTGTACAGAGACACAAACAAGCTGTTTAAACTGGACGTGTCAAAGCAAACGTTCTTTCATTCGTCCATTTGTCGACAGACTCGAGTGTCAGAAAGTGAACGCGCATCTGAATACTGTATCTAGTGTAGACAGCGTCAGTAATTATAATGGTTTTGCTTTTGATGTGATGCAATGCTCGCTGTTAAGCAACTGAACGATAGTGGGCGGGGCCTATGGTGCGATGATGTATACGATCATTGATGTTGTGCTCTGGAGGCAGTCATATGCAAATATACACTATATTGCCAAAAGTTTTGGGACCCCTGCCTTTACACACACATGACCTTTAATGACATCCCATTCTTTATCTGTAGAGTTTAATATGGAATTGGCCCACCCTTTGCAGCTATAACAGCTTTAACTCTTCTGGGAAGGCTTTCCACAAGGTTTAGGAGTGCGTTTATGGGAATTTTTTTACCATTCTTCCAGAAATGCATTTGTGAGGTCAGGCACTGATGTTGGACGAGAAGTTGTATTCTCCGCTCTAATTCATCCCAAAGGTGTTTCTATCGGGTTGAGGTCAAGACTCTATGCAGGCCAGTCAAGTTCCTCCACACAAAACTCGCTCATCCATGTCTATATGGACCTTGCTTGTCATGTTGGAACAGGAAGGGGCAATCCCCAAACTGTTGTCTAAACAATATCCATTAAATTGTCCAAAATGTCTTGGTATGCTGAAGCATTAAGAGTTCCTTTCACTGACTATGGGGCCAAGCCCAACCCCTGAAAACAACCCCACGCCATAATCCCTCCTCCACCAAACTTTACACTTTGCACAATGCAGCCAGGCAAGTACCATTCTCTATCGCAACCGCCAAACCCAGACTTGTCCATCGGATTGCCTTTAGACTTTAGACTTTAGCAACTTTATTAATCCCGCAACGGGGAATTAGTTTAGAGCAGCATGTATACAACAATACATAACACAGATCACACACATTTCTCACCACATACAGACAGTCAATATGTGCGCTTTAAAAAAAAAAAAAAAAAACCTACACAGTTTAAAAGTTTGATCGCAGAAGGGATAAAAGATTTAGATTGGCGGTTCGTCTTACTCACAGGAAGCGCATAACGACGCCCAGAAGGCAACAGAGAAAATTTACCTGACAAAGCATGTCCTGGAGAGGCTAAGATACTCGCTGCCTTCCGAACTATTTGTTGGTTACAGAAGACATTAAGGTCTCTCTGTTTCACACCAATAATTTTAGAACAGATTTTTACAATATTGTTCAGGCTATTCCTGTCTTTAACTGTCAGATTGTGAAACCAACAGATCGAAGAAAAACTTAAAAGACTCTCAATAAAAGACTGATAAAATCTACACAGGATGACCGGCGTGACCGAGAAGGAATTTAGTTTGCGGAGAAGATAAATTCTCTGTTGCCCCCCTTTCATAATGGCAGCGCTGTTTATATCAAACTTAAGATGGTCATCAAAAACAGTGCCCAAATATTTATATGATGAAACAATTTCCACCTTTACATTATGTATGATGCTCTCTGAAGCAGAATCTCTATCTCGCCCAAAGTCAATAATTAATTCTTTGGTTTTAGATACATTTCAGTCAAGGAAATGGTTCTCACACCATGAGATAAAGTCAGTCAGAGCATTCCCATGGCCAGAGACAGGACCTTGGAGGAGTAGGACCAAATAGCTGCTCTCCTGGGCGCTTCTGCATCCATTTGTGTACATGATAAAAAAAGGGGTGAAAGGACACACCCCTGAGGTGATCCTGTAGAGAGCAATAAGGGGTCTGATAAATGACCATTTACTGATACCCTCTGCTCTCTTACAGTTAAAAAATCTAAGATCCATAAAACAAGTTGGTGAGGCAAGTTAAAATCAGCAGCTAGTCTATTAGAATATGTGGTTGCAATGTATTAAAAGCTGAAGAAAAGTCCGCAAACAGAAGCCTGGCATGGGATTTTGGTTTGTCTAAATGCTTGCCAGACAGAGAAGCGTGATTCGTCACTCCAGAGAACAAGTCTCCGCTCTAGACTCCAGTGGCGGCGTGCTTTACCCCACTGCATCCTACGCTTTGCATTGCACTTGGTGATGTAAGGCTCCATTAAGCTCTCTACGCATGCACTGTTCTTGAGCTAATCTGCAGGCCACACAAAGTTTGGAGGTCTGTAGCTATTGACTCTGCAGAAAGTTGGCGACATCTGCGCACCTCAGCCTGCGCTGACTCCGCTCGGTGATTTTACGTGGCCTACCACTTCGTGGCTGAGTTGCTTTTGTTCCACATTGCTTCCACTTTGTTATAATTAGGGCTGCACGATTAATCGCAATGAAACCACACTCCTTTTTCCCCAACCCCAGACAACAGCGTTGCTGAGCAACAACAACACAGACGGAAACATGTCGAGAAATGTTGATGGATGGTTCAGTTGATGGATGTAGAGACCTGTACTCCCGCAGGACCCAACTCAACCGAGTGCGGCGCGGGA